GGGTGGGTCATAAATATCAAAGATAAGTAAAGAAAGGGGAAGCTTTCAGTTACAGTGGTGGAGAGTTACTCTTAAGGTGGCAGACTACCCAAATATTCGCTGAAAAATCAAATTTGTAAATTCATATTGAGTGCTACGTCAGTTGAAAGAGCATGAATAGCTGCAAATTCTCTGAAAATTGTGTCCCGATCTGACCGGCCGTTCAAGAGTTATGGCCGAAAATGTGCCCTTGCAAGTTTTTTTGTTGCACGCTGTCATTTGTTGGCAGCACTGTATTTGAATGTGAGCAGACCGTGCGCAACTTGTCGTATCATGGAAACACGTGAAAGTGTGCAGAATTTTGCTTCTTGTCCAAAAAATCAGGTTTTTGAGCCAGCCACGTATTGGGCTGCACGGCGGCGGGCGAAGCCCGCCGCCGTGCAGCAGGACTTTTGCCAGCACCCTCGTGACGTTGCAGATATGTGGCTTGATTGTTGTAGTTGACGTTGATTTAGTGACTTTGGCAAGTTTGAGTCGTGTCAAGAAGTCAGGTAGGATTCAGTACTAGGCAGTAGTGAAACGTGAGTGGTAGTCTTTGCCGGTTTCTGAGGGTATCCTGGATTTGGTGTGCAGCGCTGTGTAAATGGCTTGCTGTGGAGGTCCCAGCACTGGATGTTGTATCAAAGGTACGACCTCGTAGCACGTGCTAAACCTAAAAAAATTCAAAAATTGACTTAGGTCTGTGGGAGTGTGTGAGAGAACGCACACTCGTTCCGTTGTGACAGATTCCAGGGCCTCGTTGAGGGGCCCTACCCCATCACCCATGGCTGCTTCTGGACTTGTTCTAGGTTTGAGTCCCGGGCACGAACAGAATGAGCACGAAAATGTGAAAAATTGTAAATGCCGCATGATTTGTTTGGCTCCTGGCCTGGGTGGCTCGCACACCGTGGCACTATGCCGGAAATTTGAGTTTTTCCGGCCTGGAAAGCCTGTCAGTGAGGCGCAAGAACTTGTAAATCATGTCCTGAGGGCCAGCATAGTGGCAGGAGTGTGTGGTCAAAATTTCACTCAAATCCATTGAGAAACACCAAAGTTACGGTCAATTGAATGCCATGTGAAATTTTTGGGTAGGCTGCCCCCATTTAAAACTCGTAACCTTATGTCCTTTTCCTTTCTACATTTATTTATGGCTCAACATCCGAGTTTCAAATTGCACACCTGATGAGCCGTCACGAACCATACGGCGAAACGTACGTCGTGTAAAACAACTTGTTTTGTAGTCAACTAGTCCATCACAATGTCATGCATGAGGAGTACTGTAGGAGTTTGACTTTCGGCTTGTACAATTCGTTCTCGCAAAGCTGCCCCTTTCTTTACTTATCTTTGATATTTATGACCCACCCAAGCTGGGTGGTGTGCTGCTTTGCTGCTTTGCTGCTTCGAATTGTAGTTAGACCGCTTTGTCAAATATCGTACTGGTCTCGTCATCGTCCAGTAACAATCGACATTCTTTGTT